CAGATAGCAAATTAGGGTATCTGAAATTGGAATTCCAATTTCAGTTAACTGATCTTCGGATCTCAATTTCAGACGCCCAAAAAGTATCTGAATTCCAACTTCAGACGAAAATCATTTCAGTCACAACTTTGTCGATTTCCGACTTTCGATTCCGAACCCTATTTCAAAGAATTACATCTACACATGATACATTTTAAAGCAGTAAAATTATTTAAGTCAAATGCAATTGTATTTACCAGGTGGAACTCGTCAAAACAACTGGTTTCAATATCGCTGAACCGAACGAAAGTATAGTGAGTGTTTACTCACTAATACAAATCTAATGATATGATAACTAATTTATTCCATGTTACACTTTATAGCGTAATTTGTTATAACTTAGAATTAATTTCACAATGAAGTGAGCGATAGTCATTCGATTAAGAAGGTATTCTTTTTCAATTTATACTATTTAAAAAATATTATAGCATTTTATTAAGAAGATTTACTATAATTAAATATTATTATATTACACAAAGATTTATAAAATGAAATAAAATTAATTAAAATATTGAAAATTAGTAATTTTTTCAAAAAAAAAAAAAATATTACATAAGTACAAATGTATTGCACTATCGTGACGAGATTAAGTATCTTTGCTTTTTAATTCATTTATAAAGTTTTTTAAACAGTTCGGAAGACTTTTTTAATAATTGTTCAAATTAATATTAAAAATAAAAATAAAAATCTAAAAATAAAGTAAAATTTATTTTTATATTTAGATAACAAACTATTAAACTACGAATAAGCGGTAATTGCAAGAATATGGTACATAATTTAAAATAATAAAAAGACATTAGTATAATCTTCTTTTTTTATATAAAAATAAGAAACTAAAAATAAAACAGAAATAGTAATATTGCAACCAATTTTAATGTTTTTATGTATGATCTCAAGATTTATTTGGAATTTTTTTAAAATTATTTCATGTGATCAAAATTTTTATTTCTCTAAATTTGCAGAGAAAATATTTAATCTATAAAGATTTTTTTTTTAAAAAAAATAAAGAAATGCGCTTAATATAAGTTTATCAGGAAATGATAATAAAAAATCTTTCTAGTGACAACGGTAAACCAAAATTACGAATTCAAATTGACACTCACAAATGAGCAAGACAATAAGTTCATGATTAAAAACGCACGATTATAGATAAATAAAATGAAAGTTGATTAATAATGTAATGAAAATTAATTTAAAGGCCAACGAGTGATATCATTTAAAATATTGTTATCCCCCTCATAAATTGATTTTGTTCTCGCTTCTTTAATTTTTCTGGAGAACTTTGATCTAGCGTGAGCACATCCTTCGGGTCCTGAAATAAAATAATTGGAGTCCATCATGACCAATTTGTCAAAAATTCCCTGGATACCGGAAACTTTAAATTCATCATCAAGTTCTTTTTTATAACCGGGAAACTCATCAAAAAAAACATTAAGGGTTTTAATTGTTATCCAGGTATTTAACTCAAAAGTGTCGTTTAAAGATTTAATTGCATTGTGGTGTTGTGGTCTTATATCATGAAATGTTGAAGATTGTGCCTTATTCCCACCTACATCCATTAATGGATAATCAGTAGCTAAATAAATATTATTGATTCCTAATTCTTTCCGCAGTTTGTAGAGATATTTGATTAAACTTTTAACGCACATAGGCATCATATTTGGTTTGGTAATTTCCATTCTCCAGTGAATCGCTATAAAAGGTCTTAATTTATTAACTGCCCTTTTTGCAGCTTCATTAATATGATCAGCAAATGGCAAATGTATAACTAGTCCCTTTGATGGAAATAAAGGTGCGGGGATAAGATGTCTGATTAATAAAACTTCATAATCAACGTCCAATAATTTCGTCAGATTTTTGATCATTAAATTATTACTATATTTTAGTTTCCAAAGATTTTTTGGTCCAAGATTAATCGTTGTTTTATTGATTAAAAGATCATCCTTGTTATTAAATTTTAAATCAAATTGATCCAAACATTCATTTTTTAATTCCAAATGATCAGTTTTAAGAACTAAAGGATTCTTTTCCTGCATGATGTATCTATGAGTTGAGGTAGGTTTATCATTACGTTCACGTGTCCAATCCAGGAAATCTCGTAAATTTAACGTTTGGAAAGATTTTCTTGATTCTTTCTACGTTATAATAAAAATGAAATGGAAACTTATTACAAGATTCTAACCTTGAATCTTGCACATTTACTAAAACTATGGTACGATCTAACATTTCGGCTAATTGTATGAAAGAAAAAAATGAAAGTTTGCCGAAGTTTCTTGTTCAGGTACATGATAAGCGAACAAGAATTTACATCTTTCGGAATCGCAGTATTTTTGATTTATGCCAGCGTCGATTTTAGGTAAATTGAACATAGTTGACGAATCCGAAACGTCTATTTCACCTTTTTCCTCATCTGCGCGAAATAGATAAATCTTGATTATCGATACTAGGATGATGAACATTAGAGATTTAATAAACCTCGAACGCGTAAGTTTTATTTTGTTGAAAGACATTTTATTTTAGAATTTCAAAATGAAAGGAAAAAAATAGCTTTTCATACTTGTTACTAATTTATATAATATTTTTAGTATTTATTTTGTTTCAAAGGAATATATATATGGAAATTAATAATTTCATTTGTTATAAAATAAATTTTAAATAATTTTTTTGTGATTCAGATGTTTATATGTAAGAAATAAGTTAATTCGTTTATTAATTTGGTGTTACACCGCTGCTAAATAATTTAGAGGTTGGAACCGGTTAATTTTTAACCGGTTAATTAACCGATTAAGACGTTTATCTTGTTAACCGGTTAAAGATTTTTTTAACCAGTTAAAATAACTAATGTTAACTCTGGCCGAAATTTAATTTTCGGGCAGAATTAAAATTTTTTTGCAATTACAAAAATTACAAAATTTGCTAGTTTTGCCCAAATTTATAGTGCCGGCCTGAGTTAAATTTAACCGGTTATTAACCGGTTAAGGATTTTTGGGCCGGTTCCATGGAATATCCCCAAAAATGCGTATTCCGATTTGGGATATCCGAAATGATCATTAACGCATTTGGGCTACAACATAAAAAATTAGAATTCATTAAATATTAATAATAAATTTAATGATGTATACTTATTTTAATCGATTTCATAACATGAAAGAATTTTAATAAATCTTTGTTGAGGAGAAAATTTGAAAATTATTAAGTCTTTAAAAATGAAATATATTGAAAAAGGCTATATCAACCAAATAATTTAAAAGTTGTTAAAAAGACTATAAAATTAATAATTAAATTATCGTTATAAAAATTAAATAAATTAAATGGATGTTGAAAAAAAATTATTAATGATCAATATCGCTCTACGAACATTGATACATACTCTAATTATCGATATATCATGGTATTGTCAACATTTATCTCCACCATTGGTGAATGTGCCGCGCCATTTATCTTTTTTTGTAGACGTTTGCACTCCGAAAACGAGCCAATATTTTTGTATTGTATCTGAAATAATTAAATGATAACCTTTATGAGTAATTCCAAATTTTGGCGATTGCCTTGTTCTTATCATACCAAGGAAAGTTCCTGCTGGCAGCAGCCATAGTAGTTGAGCCAGGCCATGCCTTGTTCTGTATCCATACTTTATTATTTCAAATATCATAATTTTCCGTATGAAAATCTAAAATTAATTCATAAAAGCATGTGAAAATATAAATTTTGATATAAATACATTCAAAAATTCGAATAAAAACTTCATTTAAACATACTTACACTCTTATTAAAAAAAATTTATTCGTCATGAAATCTTCCATAATCATTGCAATCATCTTTGGCCTAGTTATGGCAAAATATTTAAATTTTTAATAACCATTTCAATTTAGTTAGATTTCTCTTATGAGATGCTTTCAGTTCCGAGATTAAAATACTTTCTTGTTTTTTGCCATTTCCTCCTGATGATCAAATGATGAATTAATCTATGAATTAATTCTAAGATTCCTTGAGCGTGAGCATAAATAAGCCAAAGATGATTGCAATATTTATGGAAGATTTCATGACGAATAATTTTTTTTACGAAGTTTAAAATGAATTTTTGATTCAGATTTCTGTGTTTATATATATCGTCGAAAATTTATATTTTCACATGCTGTTATATGATGATTTTAAATATTCGAAATTCGAAAATATTAATAAATATTTCAAACTAAATGTCTGAATATACGGTAACATAACATATGATCCGATCACACACCCATATGATAGGATGAATATTCATTCATTTTAAAGCTAACAATATAAAGAAATCTTCCGAATAATTATTCAGTGCAGTGAATTATATGAATCTGAATAAAACTGTGATATTCGAAGGAGTGTTGGAAAGATCTACACTCTATACTATTTACTTGATTCGATTTTCGATTCGCGCGTTTTAAATGCGGACAATCAAAAGAAATGATTTTCAAATTTTTTATTATGATTAAACTTCATATTCTTCAAAAGCAGGTAATTCTGATGGAATTCATTCCTTTATAGGTGGTATTATAGCTTATACTTTATTGGCCAGTTTCAATTAACTTTACGTCAAAGAATGAAGACAATTGCAGTTTATGGGTAAGGATTATTTTGCAAATATTGTAAAGATTTAATGTATTGAAACTTTTATTTATAAAATATTATCATGATTTTTTTAATTCATGATATTTAAAGAATAATTGTATTAGAGTTATGAAAATATAGACAAGGAATTATTTACATTATTTATTATTAGAAAATTTTTAAGTATCTTAAAGAAACAGAAGTTGTAGTTTTTTTCTAAGTTAGGCTTTCAAAGATTGTCATTCTATTTTACAAAACCTTTGAAGATACGAGCTGTTGGTTTTTTTAAAAAAAAATATATTTTTTAAAATTTACGATCCCAGCAATAAGTTTTATTAGGAATATTTTCTATCTTGAAAAAACGTTAAAAGAATTTATTATATTGATATTACTTTTTTTTTTACATTAGAGATTGCATAAACCGCTCATGAACTAAAAGATGCTACGTTCCAACGCATACTACTTACAAAACTCAGCACAATTTATAAACTATTGGATTAAAGGTCTAATAAAATAAGTATTTACCTTTTAAAGCAGTGCTGGATCGTTTAATATGCATTGATTCGATTTGAATTTTCAATTTTTGATTTCAATCACGAATTTCATAAAGATTTTTTTACGAGAGTAAATTGAACTTTGTTGCTAGCATTGGGCATTGAATAAGAGATTGTTGATCATTATTACCATTATTACCGCACTTATGTTTTTGATATGCCACATTATGGATGATCGGTTAAAATTTTTTGTGACAAAATTTTTCACCGTTATTCATAATCCATTTGCATGTGAAAAAATGATATTAATCTCCCCAATATAATATAAATAAAAAAAGGGGGTAGGGATGGTAAATAAAAATTATCTATCGTACGTTAATTTTTTGCTAAAAGGTGTCGATCACAAAATGGATAAAACAATTGTATTTATAATTACAATTGCAGTAATTACAAATCGTAATCGCAAGTATCAATAAATACATTGGACTAAATCGTTCAATATCAAAGATTCTGTATGTAAGGTCACCTCACTATTATTAAGTATTTGACAAAAAAAATTCAAAAAATAACATTTTTTCGCAAATTACCTTATCCCTCTTTCAAAATTGAGTACGAGAAAAAATTTATTACAATCATTTTAGTCGATTGATATTGTAATCTTGTTTCAGCCATTATTTACTACTAGATCAATGATCGTATTATTACACATATATTTTTTATTGTTGCAGTAATAGGTACCAACTGTTGGAGTCGTAATCGAAGGCTGAGTGATCCGACTCAGGAATTTTCAATGATTGAGCTTGATATAATGTCAAAATATGAAATTTTTCAATTAAATAAACTTAGTCGTGCAACATTAATATTAATAATACAATTATGGTCGATAATTTCAAATGTTAGTACGACTCATTCGGCTGATTTGACTGAAATGTTTCTAACGGTTGATTGAGCCGACTCCAGAATTTAGGTACTACATGAATGCATTTGATGAAATAAAATCATTTAAGGAACATTTCGAAAACGTAGATATATTTACCAAGTTTATTCAGATATCATTTAAATTTCTTGTTCAGGCAAATCTTTTAAACAAAGATGTGATCAATACTATCAAAAATTTAAACCACATAACGGTTGATATGGTATATTTGCGGCTGACGGAAGAGATATTTTACAACAGTTAGATGTTAGGTCAATGCTTAAATTAGTACTTATAACAAATAAATTTCAAAATACATAATATAAATAAAAAGATAATGATAAAAAAAGTGTTGAGATGGAGTCGGACCACTCCTGAAAAAAATTTTTTTTCCTTGACGAATAGAGTTTAGAACTGGATTTATTTATTTTCAAATATTCGATCTGGGAGCTTAAAATATAATTCAGATGGTTTAAAATAAATTTGGATATAATCAAATTTTGTATCTAATTTTTTGAAGGAAATCAGATTTAAATCCGAAGTTTCAACCAGCATAGCGGCTTTTTATTGTCATTTTGCCGATCACTTATGATTTTTTGATAAAAATGGATTTTTAAAAAATTCAAGTAATACATAAAAATAAGGTTGCAAAATCCAAATTAAGCATTACGGCTTGGTGTAATTTAGATTTATTTAACACTTCAAACTCTTTTTAAGCATCTTGTAAAGTAATTTGAATATTGGGAAGGTAATTAGGAAGTTAATTTGCTCAATATTTCTTAAACAGTTTGCAGGTAAATTTGCCTACAATCTTCTTTATATGGGTGGCGGTCAGTAGAAAAGGGGAAAATCCAAAATTTTTGTTAATTTTAATTATTAAGCTAATTTTGTGTATATGACCGAGATTAGCCAAGTGGTCTAATAATATAAATTTTAACCAAAATTTGGATTTCCCCTTTTCTACTGATTGCCTCCCATATACTTTTTTCTAGGTGTGAATAAAGTCTAGTATCAAAATAAAAATTTATTTAATTGATAAATCTTATTTTCATTTAAGTAAAAGTATTTTTGAAGAATTTTTTTATTTTTTTAATAAATTAACTACAGTGGCGATCATAAATAATGCAACAAAAAAATAAAATTCTTTAAATTTAAATATTTCTTTCAATTCTAGAGAT